GGAGCACCTGAAGTCGGTCACCGTTCGCTACTCCACGGAGGATTCTCCCATCGCGTCCTGGCCCGGATCCGACCCCAACCTCGACAGCAGCACCAGCAACCTTCCCGAGGTGAAACGCTCGCCCGCCAGCCCCCGGGAGCCCTTCTTCAAGCCTTCCTCACCAGTGGTGCAGAGCCCCAGGCTCTCCAGTTCTCCGAAGCAGCTGGACAGCATCGCCCTCAAGGAAGAGCATGAAGTTCTGGAGAAGTCGATGGGAAGCCCACAGAGTATGTCGAGCGCTGAGGAAGAGGAGGAGGAAGAAGACAACAACAACGATTCCCCTTCTTCCAATTCCTCGCGGCCCCTGAAGGTGCGGATTAAAACCATCAAAACATCTTGTGGCAGCATCACCAGGACGGTGACCCGGGTCTCGTCGGATTCAGAGCCGGGCTCCGCCAAGGGGCCGGCCGAGCAGGGCTCCCACGACACCTCTCTGGAGGGTGCCAGCTTCTCGGCGTCGGCAGAGAAGGAGGAAGGGATCGCGCTGGAGGTGCCCAAGGAGAAGATGGAGCTCTCCAGCCCCTTGAAAACCATCGAGGGGCCAAAAATCGTCAGCGTTCAGCTTGGCAACGGCACCAAGCTCAAAGGGACTGTCCTGCCCGTCTCCACCATCCAGAACGCCAGCAGCGCCATGCTGATCGCCGCCAGCGTGGCCCAGCAAAAATCCGTGGTGCTGCCGGAAAAGACGGGTAAAGCCATGGCCAAGAACATCATCAGCCTGGTGCCACAGACCCTGCCCAAAGCCGACACCAGGACCAACATCAGCACCGTCACGCAGACCACCACCATCACCACCACGGCCAACCAGAAAGTCAACGGCACCACAGTGGTGATGGTGCAGCCGCAGAAGCCTTCCCCTACCGTCGCGGGCACAGTCATTTCCAGGAGCCAGTCCAGCCTCGTGGAAGCCTTTAACAAGATCCTCAACAGTAAAAACCTCTTGCCAACCTACAAACCCAACCTGAATCCTCCGGCTGATGCCAGCCTGGCCCTGCCTCCCTTCGGCTACCGCTGCCTGGAGTGCGGCGACTCCTTCGCCCTGGAGAAGAGCCTGGCTCGGCACTACGACCGGCGAAGCATGCGCATCGAGGTCACCTGCAACCACTGCACCAAGCGCCTCGTCTTCTTCAACAAGTGCAGCTTGCTGCTGCACGCCCGGGAGCACAAGGACAAGGGGCTGGTGATGCAGTGTTCCCACCTGGTCATGCGGCCCATCGCCTTGGATCAAATGATCGGGCAGCCGGACATCAC